CTTGGCACCTGGTTGCCACCCAGGCTATTGAATACCTGCGCGTGCACCTTCACCTGCCGTGCGCCGTCAACCCTCAGCTCAGGTGTGCCAAGGAAGGCCGTCACCTCTGCCGCCACATAACCCTCGTCACTCACTTGCAACGACGTGGACTGCACAGTGCGGCTCAACCCGCCAGAGAATGCGCCAACACTAGAAAGGCCATTTACCGGAAGTACGGTCGCTTGTACAGGGCCGCTGGAGCGTGATTGGTACAAATAGCCACTGTTGGCCGACTTGTACACAAATGCCAATCCGGCTGTGATGTCAATCGTAAGGGTTGCCGTGCCAGTGCGGGCCGCATAGGCTTGTCCATCGCCATCAGACACAACCAACCCGTACACAAGCTGGCGCACACCAATCAAACTCGGCGAGTCCATGGCCAACGTCACCACGCCCGTAGTGGCGTCAATGGAAATGTAGCCATCATCTGAGGCTTGCTTCCCGTTATCCAAACGGAATCGTAGATCAGAACAGCATGCATCCGCATCGTCGGCAGATGCAACCACAATGACCGCACCAGGGGTTTCGTCCTCGCGCACCGCAGCAGTATAACTAGACGTCGGTGTAAAGAATGGATCATTGTCGTTCTCGTCCTCCACATCCACCACAACTGTCACGCTCGAACTCAGACCTCCTGCATCACGCACAGTCACCGTGATGGTGTGCGACGTTTCCGTCTCATAATCAACGGGTGCGCTCAAAGAAATGACGCCCGATGTTGCGTTCACCTCAAACAACGGAGATACGAGCTCAAAGGTAAACGTACTCCAGGCCGCACTGCCATCGCCATCAGACGCCTCGACAGCACCGACCGCCTCGCCAACATCAAGCAACTCGCTAATGGAGAAGTCATACGACGCCTCAGCAAACTCAGGCGTAAACTCATTCACATCAACAAGTGTAATAATCAACTCAGCAATGCTCACATTGTGGTGTCCATCTGATACGCCAATCTGAATCGCCATGGTCTGACGAGCCTCGTAATCAAACAAAGAAGTGTCGTTGACGACCACAACCCCCGTGACAGCGTCAACGGTGACAGCGCCCCCCAACAACGAAGGTCCTTCAATGCTGTAGCGCAGAGCAGGGAACGCCGTAGAATCAGCATCAGTCGCAAACACTTGCACCAACTCAGAGCCTGTAGTCACATTCTCAAAGACTTGTACGGGGCCATATGACGATCGGTTAAACACCGGCCGATTGTCATTGATGTCTACAACTTCAACAAACACTGACGCACGGGTCGTCAGCCGATCGGCTTCGTTCTCAGCCAAGTCTGTCGCCTCCACCTCAATATGCCAAGATGTACGGCCCTCGAAGTCCAACGATGATGCCAGCTGCAGCAGCTGCCCGCTGATCCTGAACGGCTGTGTCGTGTTCAAAATGCGCAGCGAAACCTGGCCGTTGGCAGCTGAATCGGCATCCGTGACGCCGAAATCAAGGAGCGTCGAATTGATGGTCAAGTTCTCATACACGGTCACGTGGAATTCACTCACACCGCCAGCAAACACGGGGGCGTTGTCGTTTTCATCCTCGACATCAACAATCACCACTTGCGTACCGGCAGTCATTCGCTCACCATCGCTGGCACGCGCATTGACAATATGACGCGTCTGTGTCTCATAGTCGAGGGCACCGGTCAACACTACCCGGCCATCACTCAGTACAACAAATGGCCCAGTCGCATTATACGACGTCCAGCTAACGGTACCATACTGCTCACTCAAGTCTGCATCGTTGGCGGTTAGCGTCGCAATCACGCTTTCGTTGCCAGTCAACTCGGACAGGGAAATCTCAAGCGGGTTCGTGCCCGTTAACACAGGCGCGTTGTCATTGGCATCTGTCAAGCTGAGCGTGATTGTCCGCGAGCTGAAGCTAGGCGTGTACGTCGGGGCGGCAACGCTCGCAGGCGAAACGGTCACAAAAAATGTTTTGAGTCCACCCGAAACATCATAGTCCAACGCCTGCATCAGCTCAAAAACACCGTGCCTCTCAATCGCTGTCACATTGAAAATGCCCGCAAAAGTTGGCACCACTTCTACAGCAAACACATATTCAGCATTCACTCCAATGTCCGCGTCTGTCACGTTCAACACGGCCACGGGTTCGCCGGGCACCGCCGCCTCGCTAAACTCAAAAGTAAAAGGCGTTTGCAAAATCGGCGGGTTGTCATTGATGTCAGTCAAGCTAATCGTCACATTTGTTGAGACGTTGTGGTCACCGTCAGTCACCCAAGCCGTGAAGTAAATATTCTCAATGGCCTCGCGATCCATGCGCTGCGCAATGGAAACGACGCCCGTCGTCTCATCAATGCTCACAAGCTCAACCATGCCCGTGGCGCCCATGAGACTGAATGTCAGCTGGTCACCATCGGCATCGCTCGCAGACACGCTCAGCAGCGCGCTTCCAATCGTGCCTTCCTCGGGAGTCGAGACATCATATGGCGTGTTAACAAACTCAGGGGCATTGTCATTCAGGTTGACGATCGAAACGTTGACCACCACGCTCGACGAGCGTTCGCACAACACCCTGATCCCGGGCCACAATCGTCACCTGATACTCTCGGACATCAACCTCATAGTCGAAATCCTGCAGTGCCGTCACAATGCCGCTCACAGCGTCCACGGCAAACAAGCTTGAGGCCTCGCTCAGTTCGTAGCGCACAATGCCCGATTGACCGGTCACGGCCAGGCTGCCATACGCAGCAGGGGCCACGCCCGAGCTATCCGCGTCAGTGGCATTCACAACCCCAACAACGGCGTCGATGCCAGAGTTCTCGTCCACCTCAAACCGCACAGTTGCAGACTCAAACACAGGATCAGCAAAGTTGAAGCACTCGCTACTCGTCACATTGTTACTGAACGTAGTCAGCGGCGAGTAGCCACTGCTGCCCGTAATCACCTCAATGCCATCCACTGTCATGCTCAGCTGCGATGAATAAAGCGGCGTGGCACTCGTCTTAAACATGCCCAAGCGTCGGGCCGTGCTGGTTCCGCCCTGTGAATCATACGTCTTTTGCAACAACGACAGACCCAGGCCCTCGCCAACTAGCGACGTACTCAGCAAGCGTACCTCAAACCAGCCCTCACCCGTGCCAACGGCCTTGACGACTCCACCATACAGGCTGGCCGAGCGCCCGCCGTCTCCGACGTAAGTGCCGTTCCAATAGTATGCATTGCTGCTCAACGCAGACGTCAAACCACCCATGGCGCTGTCCTGGGCTGACGTAACAGAGACATCGAAGAACACTTCCGTGTTGCTGGCCGATGCTCCATCATCCCCAGCTTCGGCCAGCTGCGCACGAAGCACCAGGTCGCAGGCTTCTGCTTCGCGACCCACTTGCTGCGCCTCCAAAGCTTTGACAAAGCGAACCTTGTTGAAGTTTTGCTTCAACAACATGCTCGTGTCCGTAGCCGTGATCTCACCATCCAAGTTGGCATCATACGCCGCCAGCTGATACACCTTCGGATCACTGTACTGCGACCCCAAGCTGCCACCAAACCCGCCGGCACGCAACGCCACATACAGCTGCAGGTGCTCAACATCCTTCACGTCAAACACACAGTCTCCGTTGGCATCGCCACTCTGACGCAGCAAACCACCACAGGTATCACACGGTGACCCGCTGCATGCCGTCTGTGCATAGCCCGCAGCACGGCGCTCCCGCTCCACATCACGGCGGCGACGCGCCAAAGGCGTGCCATAAGTCAAGTCGCCCGCCACAAACGCTCGTGGCTGGGTCTTGCTTGCAGTCGGCGTACCAATGTCTGCACCACCACTGCCCGCATTCGCACTCAAAGTGCGAACCTCGCCTGACAGGCGAATGGCCTG